CGAGTGGATGGTTAGAGTCAAAGTTTAGGTATTGATCCGTGTGTGGGGGTTTCCGGTAGATCCTTATCTGTAGTGACCCATCTTCATTGTAAGGGTGTCAAGAAAGGGTAAAGATCTAATCTGTTCCTCCTCAGTAGTAAACTTAATGTCAGGGTCTAAACTGTTCAGAAATTCTGTAAACTCCTGTGCATGAACTTTCTTCAACTTCGTGTGAGTGTCATCAACATAACGATCCCACCAAAATTGCGGGTGGGGTGGGGGGGCAGTGCTAATAGCCAACTGTTCTAGATGTTCCACGTACAGGTTACAGACAATGGGTGAGACTGGAGGTCCCATTGCTGCACCATGATTTTGCTGATAAAACACTTCATTGTGTACAAAGTACGTGCACTCCAAGCGGATCATTAAAAGGCTTACAATCTGTTGGGGAGTAAGAGTTGTACGTTGTGCTAGAGTGGTGTGGTTCTGGAGTCTACTTGTTATAACATCCAAAGCTTTATCAATAGGAACTGAGGTAAACAGGGCTATAACATCAAAGGATCTAAGTACCTCGTCCTCTTCTACCCGTTGGTCTTTTATACGTTCCGTAAAATGTTGGGAGTTCACAATATGATGGGAGGAATTGCCAACCAAAGGAGAAAGTATATCAGCCAAAAATTTTGCACTGGGTTAAGTAATGGAACCAATACTACTAACGATGGGTCTAAGGGGTACATACACCAGTCTTGTGACTTTTTGGAAGTCCGTAGAATTTCGGTGGAGTGTCTGTTGTAGGGTAAAGTTGTCTATAAGTCACTCTATTAAAGCCCTGTTCCTTCTCAATTTGCTGTAAGACAATTACCAGCTGTTTCTAGTACTTTGATAGGGGTCGCGTCTTTCTTTCCCAGTCGGAGATAAGTGTTTTTGTCGTCGAGTAACGCTCTATACTTCTGTTGATAATCCTCCCTGTTTAACGCCACTACAGCACGTCTTTTGTTGGCCGGAAGGATTAGAACCTGCCCCAGACCACCCAACACCAAACCCTCAACAGGAACAAAGTCCAAGGGGTTGGCAGTCCTTCCATACATCAAGGATTTGCCTGAAGCTCTCAGGAGGATTTTCATTTCGCACAGTCACATTCTTGTTGCGCCAAAGGACAAAACCCCCAAAGAGTGTCATTTACCACATCCCCTGCCAGGGCAAAAACAACAAGGGGCCCTGCCAGGAAACGTACACTGGAGAAACTAAGAGGTCTCTAAAAGCCAAGTTTCAAGAACATACACGGCCTGCTCTGCCAGTTCAGAGGTGTCTCAACACATCCACATAGAGTCACCCGGACATTTTGTTCCACTTGACACTAGCTGTAAGGATTTTAGACACTGAACAAGACTATTTCTTGAGAGGGGTGAAGTAAGCCATATACATCAGGGCCCATCACCCTTCTTTGAACCGAGACGGGGGCCGACATCGTCTACCAGATACCTTTGACCCAGATACATTTCAAAAATCTAGCTAAATGCTCATATATTTTGTATTGTATCTCAGATCGTGCTATGGAGATGCTTAACCAGATGAAACAAGCAGGCAGAAAGAAGAAGGAAGACGACCACACAAAAGAAGACACGACGGAAGATGAACACACACCAGACGTGGATCAAGAGCATGACTGTGGAGAAGGTTCCGGAGCTGCGGCTGCTGACACCCCGACTGGCAATCTTGACATGGGAGACCACGTGATTGTCTGGCCGGAGCAAAAAGAAGGTTCCGAGCAGCAGAACAAACCAGAGGAAACTACCGGGGATGAGGAGGGAGATGGGCGTAGCTTTGCTGCCAAAGCTAGAGGTACGTTCAGATGCAATGAGTGACCATGAATGAATGAATTCAGGGATATATGAATAAATGAACGACCTTGTTCTGTGTTTGGCTCTTACAAGGTCATGTTAATGCAGTTAATATTTACTTTGATTTTACCTTGTTGAACAATTTCAACTCAGTTTGGATAATACTTTGGATGTACACATTAGAATTTGATATAGGTTCTTAGAGTGCACCGTTTTACTCATACCTACATGTATGATGCACTTGTAATCTACTTGCAATAAACCTTCTGAAATGGGCTTTTCCAATTACGATTTTATGATTATATATATATATATATATATATATATATATATATAGAGTAGAGAGAGAGAGAGAGAGAGAGAGAGAGAGAGAGAGAGAGAGAGAGAGAGAGAGAGAGAGAGAGAGAGAGAGAGAGAGACAGAGAGAGAGAGACAGAGACAGAGAGAGAGAGAAATAGTATTACCAGAAGAGACGATAATTTCAACAAGGATCCTTTAAGTATTTTCAACGATACATTTTAAAAATCTAGCTAGTGCTCATATATTTTGTACTGTATCTCAGATCGTGTTATGGAGATGCTTAACCAGATGAAACAAGCAGGCAGAAAGAAGAAGGAAGACGACCACGCGAAAGAAGACACGGGGGAAGAAGAACACACACCAGACGTGGATCTAGAGGCTGGTGACACCCCGACTGGCAATCTTGACACAGGAGACCCACACGTGGTTGTGTGGCCGGAGCAAAAAGAAGGTTCCGAGCAGCAGAACAAACCAGAGGAAACTACCGGGGATGAGGAGGGAGATGGGCGTAGCTTTGCTGCCAAAGGTAGAGGTACGTTCAGATGCAATGAGTGATCATGAATGAATGAATTCAGGGATGAATGAATAAATGAACGACCTTTGTTGTGTGTTTGGCTCTTATAAGGTAATGGTAATGCAGTTTATATTTACTTCGATTTTATCTTGCTGAACAATTTCAACTCAGATTGGATAATGATTTGGATGTGCAAATTAGAATTCATGGCTGTTAAATTAGATTTAGGTACTTAGATTGCACTGTTTTACTCATACACTGTTTTACACACACACACACACACACACACACACACATATATATATATATATATATATATATATATATATATATATATATAGTCAGTAGTACGTACTAGAAGAGACGATCATTTCAACAATGATCATTTCAGTACTTTCAAAGATACATTCAAAAACCTGGCTAAATGCTCATGTATTTTGTACTGCATATGTATTTCAGGTCGTGCTATGGAGATGTTTGACCAGATGAAGAGTAAAGTTCCCTGGCTCATAGGTGTCTTGGCTCTATCTGGCCTGCTGGTTATAGTGTGTGTTGCCTCCGCTGTGCTCATACCAACTCTCGCACCTGGAAAAGGGGTATGTCATGGTCTTCATGTTTTTACAGGAGGAGTTTGGTAGAATTGGATAGCAGTTTTTGCTGTAAGGTGGTAATCCAAGAACTCATAGGTTCCGTGTTCAAATCCCTGTCAGCCTGAAATGGCCCCAGTATTGATTCACCATGTGATAAAGCCCATCCAATTGCAAGCCCCTTGCAAATCAGTCATTGGCTGCTACTACTACTAGGCAGATACAAAATCAATTAGTATGACTGTTTCATCTGTTTTAGGTATTTTTATGTCCATGACTAGCTTTATCAAATTGATAGGTCATTTGAGCATAGAATTGTTATGACATTAACTATATATGTAATAATGAAATGACATATATGTAATAGCAGAGTAGTGTATCACGCTGTCTGTTGCACACAGTTGAGATTTAGGTTTAACTTTAGTTAGTTGCCAAAAAAATAGTTGTATGCTCCTTCTTTGGCAATTCAGTCCTTGGAAGACTATCTATCTATATATCTCTGCACATCTTGAGTGTGGCTTGCGATATGCTCCAGGTATATGAAAAAAAAAATAACATGCATCTGTTTTTAGGTGAACCAAGATAGTGTGGAGTTGGGGGTGTACGTGAAACAACAGAATTCAACAGCGTCGTGGTGGGAGCATTTCTACAAAGAGACCAGCTTGGCCGTCGGGCACTCAACCAACATTTCCTCCCCGTTGGGATGGCAGTCCACAGGATCAGTCACAAGTTCCGAACGTGAAAACAACGAGGTCTTACTAACATCACTTGCACCTCTGTCAACCACTGGTAAGTAAGGGAAGTTCAGATTTCTGTTGCACCTGGTCTACTTTTTGGCGACTCCTCAGGGAGGAGCCTAATGGTACAGTATTGTGTGCAGTTTGCAAGAATTCTAGGAATGGTACAGGGATTTTGTCCACAGGAATGAAATGTCCAAAGGCATGTCTCTGACCCACATCTATGCCCACATTCCTGGAAACCCTTGGGAAGACCTCTCTGCCCCGGATGGCCCTACTTTCTGTGACCCCGGGGCTCGTTCACTATACACACAGGGGAGGAGTGCACCGTATCTGTCTAGACTTAACAGGTGCCAAGTCTTCCTCAAAATCATGAAATGATGGCAGTGCCATGCAAACAATAACCCTAACAACAACCACCGTCGACATGGCAATGTATGTTTTCATTGCCAGTCTTGTTGCAGGTACACCTCCCTCATTGCTATAAGTTTGTACAGCCCGTCGGGCACTAAACCTCCCTTTCCTCGCTGTTGACAGGATCAGTGACAAGTACAGAGCTTGAAACCGCCGAGGTGTTACTAACAACGCTCGCACCTCTGTCAACCACTGTCGGTAAGTAAGGAATATTTAAATTTTCATTGCACATAGCATTCGTTGCAGCTACGCTTTCCGTACAGCCCAAAGACCCCATTGCTATAACTTTTCACGGCAGTCAAAAGACCTCATTGCTATTCGCTCGTGCAGCTCTAAGACCTCTGTAAAATTACGTTTTTAAAGTATCACTCATACTGTTGTTGTACATGATGTATTGTATTATACTGTTTTGGAGGGCAACTTGCGAAGGTGTCAAAAATACAACTATTTTGCCCTCCATTCCTCTTGTATACAAATTCATACTAGAATCTAAACGTATAAGTGCCAAAACAATATCTACTAAAAGCTTTGCTGGTCACAATTGCCATGGCCAATGAATCCTCCAAATAGCGATGCAAAGTTTCTGAAATCATGTTGCAAGAAAGTGCCCTATTCTTCCGTCATTAAGAATATATCAATGAGTGCAACAGACACCCTGGGCCTTGTCAGCATGGACGCTGTGTGAACAAAGATGGCGGATACAAATGTACCTGCTCACCTGGATGGACTGGACAGAACTGTCAGCAAGGTGAGTTGACTCCTTTTTCAACAGTCAGTCCCCAGAATGGATCAAAATAAAAAGGTATTTGACAAAACTTCCCGCAAAGTGATAGCAATGCCACCCCCAAACCGTTCAATTTTTTTAACAAATAGATGAGTGTTTCACGTACATGTATCCTAGTCTAAATGGAACCTGGGAGTGTGTGAATCAAGATGGCGGATGCAAATGTACCTGCTCACCTGGATGGACTGCACAAAATTGCCAGCATAGTTAGTCTGGTATAGTCCAAGTCCAATTCTTCATATTCTCCAAACATTTAGGGGTTACATAAATCATCGGGTCGACTGTTAAGATTAGTTACATTTTCTCTCCTTTAACACGCAGACATAAATGAATGTGTCAGGAAACCTTGTCAACATGGACGCTGTGTGAACCATGATGGCGGATATAGATGTCGGTGCGAGGGTGGATGGACAGGACAGAACTGTGACCAAGGTGAGGTTGTTTTATTACCTTCTCCAGAAGATTCTGTTTTCCGTACTCGCCCGCGTTTGATATCTCGTGATCTGGACATGTTATTGTCTAGATCACGCAACTGCTGGAGCATTCCTTAACAATCTTTCAGGTTTTCTTCATCAGTTGACAACACAGACATATATGGGTGTACCAATCATCCATGGCTATCTGTGATGTAGTTATTTTGCTTTAAGTCGGAAGTTGCTCTTTTCTATGGACAAAATTATACACACACACACACACACACACACACACACACACACACATATATATATATATATATATATATATATATATATATGTATGTGTGTGTGTGTGTGTGTGTGTGTGTGTGTGTGTGTGTGTGTGTGTGTCCTTCCTTTCAAAAAAGTATTTAATTTTCTTTAATATGTGTCACATGAATCATATTTTTTTCTTTCCCTTATAACATAGGTTTAGATGGTTGTGCCAGGAACACATGCGGATTTGGAAAGTGTGAGAACACCGATGATGGCGGACACAAATGTATCTGCAGACGCGGATTTACCGGACAGAAATGTCAGAAACGTGAGTTTCCTCTTGTGTTTAAAAGTTGCCCTTTTCTCTGTGACAGATCATGAATATATTTGTTCCTTCTTTTCCGTACAAATTTGAGATCGTACTTTTCTCTAACTAAGCATTTACATAGTAAGTGCTATCGTGTACCCATGTAATTTTAAGGCAAACCATAATTTCCTTCTTTTTAGCACAAGTTTAAGGTTTCCATTTTCTCTAATAATCTACATCGTAGGTGTTATTATCAGTCTGTATGTTATTAAAATTTAGTTCATTTTCTTTTCTTTATCACACAGGTGTCAATGAGTGCGACAGTCACCCATGTCAACATGGACGCTGTAAGAAGAAATTTGGTGTCGGGTACAATTGTATCTGCTTATCTGGATGGACTGGACAGAACTGCCAGAAAGGTGAGTTCCTTCTCATGTACTCATTTTGTTTAAAAGCTGTTATTATGGATGGAAAATCACATATTTTGATTCTTTTCATTACACATTTATTAAGGTATTGGTTTTCCGTATATCATTGTGTTATATGTTTAAACAAATTACGTACATTTTCTTTTCTTTATCCCACAGACATCAATGAGTGTGTCGGAAATCCCTGTCAACATGGAACATGTAAGAACCAAGATGGCGGATACAAATGTACCTGCTCACCTGGGTGGACTGGACAGAACTGTCAGCAAGGTGAGTTCCTTCTGATGTACTTATTTTGGTTGGAAGCTGTTCTCTCTTGGATGAAAAATCATTTGGTTTCCTTCTTTTTATTAAACAGTTAAGATCTTGTTGTGTCATGTGTTAAACAAATTATATTTATAAGATACAGTTTATTTCTTTTATCACACAGACATAGATGAGTGTATCAGAAACCTCTGTCAACATGGACGCTGTGTGAACCAAGATGGTGGATACAAATGTACCTGCTCAGCTGGATGGACTGGAAAGAACTGTCAGCAAGGTGAGTTCCTTCTGATGTGCTTATTTTGGTTGGAAGCTGTTCTCTTATGGATGAAAAATCATTTGGTTTCCTTCTTTTTACTAAACAGCTGCTCAGCTGGATGGACTGGAAAGAACTGTCAGCAGGGTTAGTCTGATGTAGTCCAAAAACGTTCTACATATTCTCCAAACATACCTAAATCATCGGGTGAACTGTTAGAATAAGTTGCATTTTCTCTCCTTTAACACGCAGACATAAATGAATGTGTCAGGAAGCCTTGTCAACATGGACGCTGTGTGAACAAAGATGGCGGATACAGATGTGAGTGCCAACATGGATGGAGAGGACAGAACTGTGACCAAGGTGAAGTTGTTTTTATTACCTTTCCGTAGTGTCTGTGTGTTTGTGTTTGTGTGTGAGTGTGTTTATGTGTGTGTTTATGTGTGTGTGTGTGTGTGTGTGTGTGTGTGTGTGTGTGTGTGGTTTAGCACGATAACTCAATAAGTTATAAATGTATTGTCATGAACCTTGGTAGGTAAGAAGGTGTTGATAAGACCTCGTAATGATTAGATTTTGGATTACCTGACGGCCTGTTGTAGTACTACAGTGTAACAAATCGGCCGCTTTTGAAATCTCGTGATCAGGACATGCTCTGGTCTCGAGTTTTACATGGAAGCTCCTTTGCTCGAGATGTGACATTAGTTTGTACCCCTAGAAGCTTGTTCCTCAACTGCAGGAGCAGTTGTCTTAACTTCGTCGAGGGAGGATAAGTCAAGAACGGATTGTCGTGATTTAAGTATGTGGGCAGCTTAAGTGATGCTTGACATAACATATTTAGATAACAGTTCTGTAAATCAGGATCCAATTTGAATAATCAATGAGGAAATTCTATAATTGTGCTGTGTTTCAAGGTTCCGGGTCGGAGTTTAAATCTGACCAGAGTCTAAGTAAGTGCGAAGTAAATCGCCGGATCTGCGAGGTTGCCACGCTAGGTTTGTCTCCCCATAGCTCGGCGATCGTTGTAGATTTTCAAATAGGTTTTGAATTGATCAAATAACCTTGGGATTGTAGTGTTTTTCGGCGTGGTGAAGTTGGACGGTATTAGTCCGCGAGCAAGAGTGACGCGGATTGTCGCCTGATTACTCAAATAGCTGCGTTCTATGTGGAATTTCAAGGCATTCGCGTCACCGGATTTTGCGAAAAACTTATCGCAACAACCTATATTTTTTTCCTTTTTTCAGAAACAGGAAGTGGTAAGCTATTTCAGCATATAGGCCGTTAGGCTGGGAAAATTCGTTTTTTACAAGCAGGTCCGTTGAAAAAAACTGCAAAAAATCTATATTTTTCGCATCCTAAATTTACGTTTAAGTACATTTTCTACCCAAATTACAAAGTTGACGGACAATAACCAAAATTCTATCGGAAGCCGGCTGGAAACCTCCGTTGACTGATATAATGAGATTTCCCGGCGTACTTTTCTTGGCGGAGTTGTAGCCCTTCGGTCTGAGGGTGTCCGCCGGATCTAAAATCGTGAAAAATCTCCGGTCCGAGACCTCAAGAAAGGACTAGTCAAATTTTTTACATTTGATTAAGAACGAGAGGAACATGGGTAGATATCGATTATGTAAATGAAGACCTAATTTGCATAATTATGAGAAAATACTTTTATTTCGTAATGGTAACTGCCGGGAATCTCATTCGTACGGCATTTGGATGTTGAGTGAAGATGAACATCATTAAACAACTTATTTAGATGAGGATCTCATAGCATAATTCACTAGGAAATACTAGTCTAACTTTCTTAAGATACGACTGACATTGCGCGGAGAATATAATCATATGATAAAATTAATGCAAATGACTGTCTTATTTGCATTATTGTCTACAGAGTGTATCAAGCACAAGTGCGTGCAGTTGAAATAATAACCTTATTCGTTCTGAGATAGTTTGCCCAGACGGGTACAGTTACCATCGGCCTAGTCGCCTGTGCTACAAGGCCTTCAACGACTTGGAAACCTACAGCCGTGCAGTGAGGAGGTGTTCTTTAGACGGGGGAACCCTTGCCATGCCCCGCGACACCGTAACCAACGAGTTCCTCATCGATCTGAAAAACGACGTCGACAAGAACGTTTGGTTCCGTTTTGGACTGACTGATGTCCACCAGGAGGGAGTTTGGATGTGGGACGATGGCGTTCCCCTGGGCGACTTCAGACCTTGGGGTCCAGGAGAGCCCAACAACTTAGATATGAACGAGGACTGTGCCGACTACTTTCCCGAAAGCTGGTCCGAAATGGGAAAAAAGAACACATGGAACGATGGAACGTGTACCAAAGTTGACAGGAAGTTCATCTGTCAAGCCTTTCCATCAGGTCATTTTTAAAATATCGTTCCATTTTGGAATGTTTGAGAAATGTTGCATACATTGTTGTACATTTTGTGTCTAGTCTGTTTTTGTTTCCGCATATTTGTGGTCATAACTAAGGAGGTCTTGGGAAGGCAAAGGTCAATGTCATTTTTGTTTCCTTCTTTTCATTACGGATTTAAGGTGTTGTGTTACCCGCATCATTGTGTTCAATGTTTAAAACATAAGGTACCATTTCTTTCCTTTATCACACAGACACAAATGAGTGTGCCGGGAATCCCTGTCAACATGGACGCTGTGTGAACAAAGACGGCGGATACAAATGTACCTGCTCACCTGGATGGACTGGAAAGAACTGTCGACGAGGTAAGTTCCTCCTGATGTACTCATTTTGTTACAAGCTGTTGTTTTTAAGGATGGAAAATTATATATTACCATGGTTTCCTTCTTTCCATCACGCATTTAAGTGTATTGGTGTAACATTATCATTGCGCTATATTTTACACAAATTAGGTACGGTTTTCTTTCCTTTATCCCACAGACATAAATGAGTGTGCCAAAAATCCCTGTCAACATGGACGCTGTGAGAACAAAGATGGCGGATACAAATGTACCTGCTCATCTGGATGGACTGGAAAGAACTGTCGACGAGGTGAATTCCTTCTAATGTACTCATTTTGTATTCAAGCGTTTATCTTAATGGCTGAAAACTGTATATTTTGGTTTCATTCGTTTCATTACACATAAAAGGTATTGGTGTTACGTATACCGTGTTAAATGTTTACAAATTAGAAACATTTTCTTTCCTTTATCACACAGACATAGATGAGTGTGCCGGAACCCCATGCCTACATGGAAGCTGCGCGAACAAAGATGGCGGATACAAATGTACCTGCTCACTTGGATGGACTGGACAGAACTGTCAGCAAAGTGAGTTACTTCTTATTATAGATGTTATCCTTTTGTTTGCCATGTCATATTTTAATATTAATGGATAAAACACCATATATTTTGGTTTTCGTCTTTTCATTACAGATTTAAACTTTTCCTTTATCACACAGACATAGATGAGTGTGCCAAAAATCCGTGTCAACATGGACGCTGTGTGAACAAAGATGGCGGATACAAATGTACCTGCTCAGCTGGATGGATTGGAAAGAATTGTCAGCACGGTGAGTTCATTCTGATATACTCATTTTGTTTGCAAGTTGTTCTTTTTTATGGATGAAAAATCATTATCTCATGATCTGACCATATGCTAAAAATCATTATCTCATGATCTGACCATATGCTATAGCCAGGGTCACCAATGACAGATATAGCTCTTGTTCTCGGAAAAAAGGGTCCGGGTCTCCTGGCAACTTGTTCTAAAACTACAGGGACGTTTTTGAAGGTAGTTCCTATGGTAACACAATACCATTGGAACCAAAGGTGTCCCTTGGGTGGTGACAGGGCATACTATGGCATCATTTCCGTGTCAAAATTACATACGTCACGTTTTGGGTTTATATGTCACGTATTTAGGGTCAATACGTCACGTATGCCAGGCCAACGTTACGTATGGCAAAACGCACGTATACGTTACGTCCATGTGGCTCTCCAATTCCCGTGTCAAATTTACCTACGTTGAAAACCATACGTTTTTAGGTCTATACGTCACGTTTTGTGGCATCGATACGTCACGTATGCCACGTATGTTATAATACTATGAAATAGGTTGCCCAGACGGGTACGTTTACCATCAGCCTAGTCGCCTGTGCTACAAGGCCTTCAACGACTGAAAAACCTACAGCGGTGCAGTCAGTAGGTGTTCTTCAGACGGGGGAACCCTTGCCATGCCCCGAGACACCGTAACCAACAACTTCCTCATCCATCTGAAAAATGCCGTCGACAAGAACGTTTGGTTCCGTTTTGGACTGACTGATGACACCCAGGAGGGAGTTTGGATGTGGGACGATAACGTTCCCCTGGGCGACTTCAGAGCCTGGGGTCCAGAAGAACCCGGCAATCAAGGCGGTAACGAGGACTGTGCCGAGTACTTTCCCGAAAGTTACCCCGAAAAGAGAACATGGAACGATGGACCGTGTACAAAAATCAACAGGAAGTTCATCTGTCAAGTCTTACCATCATGTCAGTTTTACAATATCGACGTTTGCGCTTTTTACATTGTTGCGTACATTGTGTACATTTTGTGTCTGTGGAATAAAGGAAAGAAAACGTTTCTAGTTGAACAATTAATAAACAAATCAAAAAATTTGTCAAATATTTATATATAATTTTATATATAATTTATTATAATTATTGAATGCGTTATGTTCTTTCATATCATATGTAATGCTTTGTCACACAGACATAAATGAGTGTAGGAGAAATCCTTGCCAACATGGACGCTGTGAGAACAAAGATGGCGGATACAAATGTACCTGCTCACCTGGATGGACTGGAAAGGACTGTCAGAAAGGTGATTTCATTCCAATATATTAATTTTGTTTGCAACTTGTTCTTCTTTATGGATGGAAAATCATTAATTTTGGTTTCCTTATTTTCATTACAGGTATTAGGTGTTGGTGTTGGTGTTACATGTATCATGGTGTTATATGCCAAACAAATTAGATACATTTTCTTTCCTTCATCACACAGACATAGATGAGTGTATCAGAAACCCGTGCCAACATGGACGCTGTGTGAATAAAGATGGCGGATACAAATGTACCTGCTCACCTGGATGGACTGGACAGAAGTGTCAGCAAGGTGAGCTTCTTCTTAATAGATGTAATCCTTTTGTTTGCCATGTCATATTTTAATATTAATGGCCATATATATGGATGAAACTCCATATATTTTGGGTTTCGTCTTTTCATTACAGATTTAAACTTTTCCTTTATCACACAGACATAGATGAGTGTGCCAAAACTCCCTGTCAACATGGACGCTGTGAGAACAAAGATGGCGGATACAAATGTACCTGCTCAGCTGGATGGACTGGAAAGGACTGTCAGCAAGGTGAGATCGTACTTGCCAATAAATACGAATACAAATACTGATCCAGACATTATGCTTGAATGTGACTCTTTTCTGTGGAACAGTAGTATACGTTTATTTCCTTTTTCATTGAAGATTTATTTTCCCCATTTTCATCTTGCAATGATTATTCTTTTAAAGAAAAAAAAGCCTATCGCAGTTGAAAATAAAATGCAGATAATGCTTAGTGTGTTGACAGTAAAGAAAGAGCCAATGTTTTGTGTGGTTTGTAAATTTGCAGTTGACTGGTATCTCAACTTGGAAGTTACGACCTTTTTTTCTGCGATGCTTGTTGTGATGGCTTTTTCTCTATCTGGCAGCCAAGAAGATGACGAGGAACGGAAAACTGGGTAACACCGAGTACAAGGTATTTGCCGAGAAAAAGACATACAGCGGGGCCCATCAGACTTGTGCATCAGACGGAGGCCGCCTTGCAATGATTAAGACAGAGGCTGTGTTCAGTTTTCTTGTTGGTTTAATTCGTGGCGTTGATGGATTCAAAGATTACTGGTTTGGTCTCAACGACATTTCCGTAAGTATTTTTTTTCTGCCGTTATTTGTCGGAGTTTAAATGTGACCCAAGCCCGTAGCCAGGGGGGTGGGGGTCGGGAAGACCCCCCCCCCCTAAGGCTGAAAGGTCCACTTTTTGGTTCACTTTTTATCTAAAGGTCCAAAATTTTTCATAAAGTGGACTGATTCGTATCACCAGCGGGGCTGGAATCGTATAAAAACTACTACTTAAGTATTTTGTCATTGAATAAAAATTTTTTCTTTTCTTTTCTTTCCTCTTCAGAAGGTTCATTTTTCAAAATTTTCGGGGGAGCATGCCCTCGGACCCCCTAGGAACCTTGCGCCTTCGGCGCTCGCTGGTCCCTCACGCACTGGGAAGAACCCCCCCCCCCTTCAAAATCTTGGCTACGGGCATGGACCGCTCGTCAACACACCGGAATGTTCGTATGTTTTGGTTCTGATTCCGTTGACGGGTACCTTGGTATAAATTTTACATCTCCTGTAGGTTGAAAACCGTTGGACCTGGTCAGACGGAAAACCACTGAGTGACTGCGGTATCACCAAATGGGCTCCAGGAGAACCCAACAATTGTAACCAACAGGACTGCGCTGCTCTGTGGGCTGCTCAAAACTTTCTCTGGGATGACAACCGGTGTAACTACGAGGCGTACTTTATCTGCCAGATAGGTACCTTTGATCCATGGATTGACTTGAAAAGTAGGATTTGTAAATGGAAATGCACACATTAACACACTAACAGAATCCTGATCTGAGTTTCTATTGACAAAGACTCCGACCAGGATCTCTACAGGAAAATGTTAGATCGGATTCTCTACCCTGATATGTATTTTGAAATGAAAGTTCATCTGTGTAAGTTGAATGCGTATGTTGTTGAAATGATTGAGAATAAGAAGCACTTGTATACTGAAATGTGTCTATTTAGAATGACACATTATTATGTAAGTTTGAACTCTTCCCTTACGTTGTTGTTGTGTCTTTTGGTTTTCAGGTCCAGGAGAGGAATGTGCCAAAGGTAATGTAACAGTGTTCTATTAAAACAGCGCCTTAACTTGTTGCCCGAGCTCTCAATCTTCTCTTACTCGACTCCTTCACCTCCTCCGGCGGCTTTGAGCAGCTTCACGGCTGCCAGTTCTCGTCGTTCTCGGAGTGTAGGAAGGTTGGGTCTTCCACCCAGAGAGATGATCCGTAAAGCTCGTCGTTGAACTCTCTCAATAGCCAGCTCCTGTTGTTTGCTGCAGCCAACTGAGAGCACGTGACCGTACTCGAGCACAAGTCTGATCAAGGCTAGTGAGTGAGTGAGGTCGGAAACACTCAAGCCTTGCTTTGTGTGGAGTCTGAGGACTTGGTGTTCTCTTGATTCCTCAATCTGTTTTCCACTTGCTTCAGTCTCTCCTTTATCATTCTGTCATCTTCATTCAATCTTTCTCTAAGTATTGCGTTTTCTGTCAAGACTCTTGCTATTACGTCATGGTCTTGATCTTGTTCTACTCCGTCACGTGCCATGCTCAGCCCTCTTCTCCTGGTGACTGCTGGGCTTTGAAACCCGGATATTTGCTGGCCTGAGAACATCTTTTTGATTTCTGTCACGTTCTTCTCGCCTTCAATAAACTGAAACAGTGCACAGCAGTCTTCCGCTAACCTGCTCATGACTGGTTCGGCATTCGCCCTGTATGTTCTTCTCCTCAATATCCCTGGTGGGCAGTCTGACCTTTCTCGTCTTGCTACTATCAGTAGAGCTTCTCTTGTGTGATTCAGTATGTCTTCACTGTTCATGTTTGCCGCTATAGCTAGCAGTTCTCTCTTGGCCGTGACCCTGTCTAAACCTTCAATGTGAGATTTGATGAGATTGTTTATCTGTCCTTGTGTCTCATCATCATCCGGAAATATATCATGTAGTCCCGTTAGCCATGTTCCTGAGCTGTCATGGCCCGTATACTCATCCTTTATGTAATCCATGGTTGGTAAGGGGAGGGGGGGGCGGACATCGGACGCTTTTTCGCGCGCTCGACCTCACGCCGTTCTATCGCTAGTTGTCAGAGAGTGGTCAGGTTTTGATGAATGAATTTTGAGAACATGAATGTAAACAACATACTTGGATAAGAAATCCATTCATTCTATTCATGACCCCTTCACGCAAACAACCCGGCCGGGCCCCGGCCTGGACGTGTGACCATGTCCTTAACAGGCGACCACAATAAGAGGCGACTTTTGTTTTTTTTAACCAAACTGAACAGAGATTTCTCGTCCTTCCAGTCTGCGTTCAGACGTATCCCCTTGGAATGGAATCTGGCGCCATACCTGATGACAGCATTACTGCATCCTCTTGGTATACCTTGGGTGTTGGTTACGAGCCTTACCGCGGTCGGTTGAACGGAGTTGCTGGTGCGGGCGTTTGGTCAGTCGGAACCAACACCATCGGGGAATGGTTACAGGTTGGCAGACATTTTGGTACATTAAATAACCACGATTCTACCTGTTACTTCCGGAATGGAGACGTATTATTTCAGGTGTCGCTAATTTATGTTAGCGCTATATTTGTATGTTTGAGTTCCAAAGTGAGTAGGTGGAGTTTGGGTTTTGAGTTTGATTGACAGGGGTATGAGTCCGTATGAACGGGTGTGCAATGCATGCGGTCGCCAGAAATGTATGGAAACCATGGTGTAATAGTGCAGTAAGTTCCCTCATACAATCGTATGGGTAATACTACATTTGGTGATATTATGAAAGTTCATCTGTGTTGGTAGTTACATGTTTAAAGTTAAAACTTTTGGTCCAACACAAAAAAATCTCTAGGTGAGAGAATTTTTTGTGTTGGACCAAAAGTTTTAACTTAAAACATACATTTGATGATGTGTTTTTCATTAACACAAACTATATCGTAAACTATATACTTTATTATAATCATATTATTGAAATCCCGATTTGTTTTTGTTTGGATTATTGCGCCACACACGGTATCAATTTCGCTGTTTCTCTAAGGTGATAAGTTCGAATTCCCTTTTCCGAACAATACCCTATGTTGATGACTTCGAATCTGTTGTGTTTAGAATGTGAATGTCAACGCTTTGCTGCACTGGAGCGCATCGGCTATCGTGGTCACAATTAAAAGTTTCCTTCAGTAGCATTTTGTTAAAAAAATGTCACCCTCTTTGGTCTGTCTCCAGCAGGCACCCGGTAGGTATCCGGCAGATTCTCTGATGATGTCTTGTACTGACCTATACGTAATGCAGAATTCACGCTTTTGTTGTGATCATTTGATCTATGACGTCACACTTTACCCGGGTTTACGAAGTATACACCTTTATTCTGTTCATCTGGTCTGTGACATAACAAATGTGTCCCGGTGGACTGCCGGCAACCGGAGGGGTACCTGTCGGTGTTCTCACGGCTTGGTCACGGCGCATTTTCGTCAGCGGGACCCGGGTAAAATTTAAGTCAGAATTAAATTCTTCTCGGGTCCCCGCCGGGCCCAAAAATAGCCCGGTAGCCGCAGGTTGTCCCGCGGGGCCACGTAGTGGGCACGCCCGAAAGTGCCATAAAACAGCCCGGGAACTACCCGGCAGGGCCCCTTTTCTCAATTGGGACCGAAGCATTACTGTGCACAACGTGGGCTAATTTTAGCTAGCAGTGCACGCTATTCAGATATGTTGTTAGATTTTCCCGGCTTGTATGTACTTCATGTGCATTCTATAACGAAGAACATCTAATCTATGTATTCAGGTGGATTTAGGAGAAATGAAGACCGTCACAGGCACCATCATCCAGGGTCGCTATGATCTCGACCAGTGGGTGACCTCCTACAAACTACAGCACAGTGTAGATGGCCTTAGTTGGATCACGTATGCAAGTAGCGATGGCTCCGAAAAGGTAGGTTATATGGGAAGATATCCCTTTTTTCTAGATCAAGCAGAAGAAAGAATCCATTCCGTCCTAAACCATTACGAAAAAGAATCATAGCGGCTGTTACTTAATAGGGTTCAGGGTTGACTTACCACTGATATTGTTTGTCTCAATAACAGTATCGGCTTTCAGCTAATATATTATGCAAAGAATCTAAAAACAAGAATTCGGAGATCTCATACCTCCATGAAATATATGAGTTTTTGTGTTGAGTAGTTCTTTTATTTGTCTCATTGACTATGGAAATAAGGTCGTAATTAGCAGAATCTAGTTTAATTTATGGTTTTCTAAATTAAAATGACAATATTTTTCGTATAAAATTCCTCTCCTTCATTTCATTTCAACATGTCCTCATTAATTATGCAAATGACCTCTACATTAACATAATATATGCATAGTGGCGTTAAACTTCAAGTAATTTACACATGTCACAAGGTATGAAATTCCCATCATTCACCAGTAAGGAGTCACAAAATGTTTACATTAATTATATATTTTTTAATTTATTTATG